ATCTACTCCCCCCCAAGTCTATAAGAAAGTTCTCCTCGTCGGAGAAAAAGTTGTATGGTATTGAAGCTGAGCTCGGGATAGCCACACGAAGCCTCTCACACCATGCTGAGCAGGAAGAGTCGCCCGGTCAGATAAGTTCCAGGCCGACCTCCAATCAGGTCACCCAACTCCCGCCAATTGCCTCCACTGTTCAGGGCGTTCGTAACTCTCTCAAAGAGAGCCCACCAGAGCGTCGTCAAACGCCGTTTGCGCGGCAATCGCTGACTCTGATTGTTGATCTGATTTGGCAGTAAGTCGGATTCCTGATTTGGCAGTAAGTCGGATTCCTGATTTGGCAGTAAATCCGCTTCTGAGTTCGAGTCCGAAACTGATCTTGATTCGATCGTGATTCATCCGAGTCTGTTCTCGGTTGGATGACTCGTTGATCCCTTAACACTTGGTTTGATTTCGAACGCGTAGGGATGCATTCCGTCGCTTCCGTGCGATTCGTCGATCTCGTCGCCTCGTTGGTTCGTCGGTTTGTGCCGAGCTATGCTAGGGGACCTATAAGCAATTTTATATGCCTACACTTCTAACCTCCGTAGGATTGTTGCCATCTTTGCTTCAGAAGCAATGTTTGACTCCAGAGAAAGACCACTAGACTTAGATTGGGGAACTGATGAAACCCTGTCATCACAGTATTCCCACTGCATTATTTTTTCGGATAGACTCTCTAGGAATTCCCAGGCTTCATCTGTGTTTTTTCTCACAAAATCTCCCTGACATATCGATTCTAAAGATGTTTTTGAAGAATAGTCCAATCCTTCATATATGACTTGGCACAGTCGCCATTTTTCTAGACCGTGATGAGGACATTGGATTAAAAGAACTTTAAATCGATTAAAATATTTCCAGAATGGCTCTTTCGGGATAATTTTAAAGTTTTGAATGTTGTTCCTAAGATTTACCGTTTTGTGAATAGGGAAAATTTTCTTAAGAAAAACGGCGACAAATTCCTCCCAAGTTGAGATGGAATTTGTCGGTAAGCTGTACAGCCATTTTTTAGCTTTGTCCTTAAGGGAAAATGAAATAAATCTGAGCTTAATTGCATCTTCGGTTAATTCTCTCATTTTAATCATAATACACACTTCCTCAAATTCCGAGATAAAAATATATGCATCTTCTGTTTCATTACCTAGGAATTTGGGAAACATGTTTATGTAATGCGGTCTAAGCTCGAAATTTGCTCTATTTACTTCGGGTAGTCTTATGCAAGATGGAATTGCATTTCTGGTGGGGTAACATATATCCTGAAGAATGGGTTGATTTGCTATTTCTTGAATTGGTTCAACACGGATTAAATGATGAGAATTATCCCGAACCCAAGTTTGCATACACCAAAACAATTTTTTTTTTCTTTTTAAGGAAAGATAAAAAATTAGTTTTTTTATATATGAAAATAGAAAGAAAAAGAAAAAAAAATCCTAACAAATCAAAGCAATCACTTTTCAAGCAACTCTAATTCTAGGGTTTAGCCTAACTCAACTAGACCAGCTCCTAATCAAAAACTCCTACAGTAAAAAAATTAAAATTTTACCCCGGTAGTTAGCCAGGTAAGGATAGTAGTAGAGGGTGATCAAAGATCAATTAAGTACCTCTTTCCTTGCGGAGCGCTTTACGCAACCCCTAAACCTTGCCTTAGACACCAACTAATCTCAGAAAACTTAAACCGGTTCACTTAAGGATTTCTTGTTCCTTATTGAGCTCGAATCCTTAGGGGCCAACGTCTAATGAGTTTTAGAAGGCTTGGATTTGTGAAGTGAGGAATTAGTGATTTGTGGGCTAAGGAAATCTTGTTAGTTAATGTTCAAGTGAAAGGTGGATTTTATTATGGTCAACAAAAATAAAATCTTTTTGTTTTTTTTTAAATCCTAAGTGTCTCTAATTGTGAAGCTAGCTAAAAGGGTGGAATTGAAAACTAGAAAGAGGACTTACCCGAAGCAATTGGTGGAATTGAAAACTAGAAAGAGGACTTACCCGAAGCAATTCTCTAAGTTCTTGATCTTCAATCCAAGACTTTCAAGCTCCAAGCGGTTCCTTCACAAGAAAACACACAAGTTAAAGAACTAAAATAATAAAATCCTATTTTAGCACCTTCCCCAGCAATGGTGCCAAAAACTTGATGCGGCATAATTATGTACCAAAATTGCAAGTGCACAATTGATCAAGTTATAGTATAAAAAATTATCGATCCCACGAGGAAGGTGATTTTAAGAGATTATTAGAATTGGTTCTTATGTTTTGTACGTGACAAAATAGGATTAAAGAATAAGTGTGATTGTGGAGAGAGATATGATGAGTGGTTGTTTTGATTTATGTGCAAGTAACAATAAATTGAATTTTATAGAAAAAAAAAAGAATCAAAGAATAAATGAAATCACAAGGCGAGAAAGAAGAAAGAATAAAATCAAGAAATAAAATCAAGAATAAAAAGAAAATTCAAGAAAGTCAAGATGGGAGGATTCAATTAAGATATGAGAAATCTAGAATTTAATCCACTAACTAATCTCAAATATAAAATACAAACTATTCTCTTTTTATCATATTTCAACTTAGATTTATTAAGCATAGACTATCAAACCATTTAAGGAAAGTATAACCTATCAAAATAACAACAAGATAGTAATCCTAGAATTCATAAGCATAACCTATCAAATCATTTAAGATAAGCATAGATTATCAAATTCTTCTTCTACTGATTAGTTTTCTAGTTGATTATCCTAAACATGAATATTTTAAGTGCAAGAGAATAATTTACATAATATAAAGGAAATTAGACTAGCATCATACAATTCTAAGATTTCGACAAGAATTAGTTTCACATCTTAATAAAAACAAGAAGAAAATGAACTAATTACAAAATTAAAAAGAAAAATAAAAATCTAAACTATGAACAAGAAATAAATCTAACTACAAAGAATTAAAATCTAAACTATAGAATATATTACAAAAATTAAATGTAAGAAAATAAATCTACTCTACAAATTAAAGTGTAAAAAGAAATAAAAAGATAAGAAAATAAATCTACACTACAAGCATGAATGTAAATCTAACTAATAAGCAATAGTAAAGAAATTACTAAGAAATAAAAGAGAAAAATAAAAGAAATGCAAACCTTTAATTTGTTCTTCATCTCCATCCTCATCATTCAACAAAGAGGAGAAAAACAAATTTAAAGTGGAAAAAAATTATTATTATTAATTGCAACAAAAGTTACAATTTTTGGAAGGCCTTCTCAATTAAGAGTAGCCCTCCTCTCCAAATGGAGTTACAAAATTTTTCATACCTCTAACCCCTCACTCTCTACCCCTATTTATAGTAAACATCAGTGAATGAGAGCCATTGGATTGAAATCTTATCAAAAAACAACAAATTTTAGCATTTGATTCGTAACAAACTGTACGTTAGTATCGATGCCAGCATCGATAGTGGTATCGATGCTGGCATCAATACGGGCATCGATGCGGGCATCGATGCCCCCATCGATGCTGGCATCGATGTCAAGTTTTCTTCTTTTGCTGCCCGCAGAATTCTTCTTCTATTGGATTTTGGGCTTGGACATTGGGCTTTGCTTGTACTTTTGGGCTTTAATATTTGGACTTTGGTATTTTCTCTTGATTTTCCTCTTGGGCTTTGATTTATTTCTTCATTAAATATTTGAAAGAATTCCTTTGGCTTCATGGGTTTCATTTCTTCATTAAATCAAGGTTTTTTTTGTTGAGAGATTAGAGTTTGAGATTTATTCTTCATTAACCTGTAATTAAAGATAAAAACAATTATTAGTAGTATATTTATTCATATAAAATAGATAATTAGGGTATAAAACTGTAATAAAATGTGATTATCAACTTAGCATATAAAATTATTCAAAAAATCACATTGACCCGGTATATCTTTAAAACTTTCATGTTTCCACGATGTTCAAATAAAAATTACAAATTTCTTTAAAAAACTGATAGCTTGGATGTTTTGTGGAACTTGCAGTAACATCGAGCTCCTTCCCGTCCTCCTTCGCACAGCCTTCTCTGTCGTGTTCTTCGCCACCTCTTCCCCTTTGGTGTCGGGGAAAATTAGGGTTTTTCTTGTTTTGGGGGAAAGATAGATCAGGAAAACTTAGTGGGAGAAAAGGAGCAAACAATATGACTGGAGCATGCACGCAAGGTCAGCGGCAGCGAAGGGGGATGTCGGCGTCTAAGAGAAAAAAGAAGGAAGAGAGAGAGGAGGAAGTAAATGGGTTAGGAGAGAGGAGGAGAGGAGAGGAGGAAGGAGGATCGGATTTAGATCTGGAGAGAAGCAAGAGAGAGGAGGAAGAGGGTATTTTAGACTTTTATATTTATTTCTCTCTCTTTGTGCTTAGTTAGAATGAAAATTACATACAAAAGGGCTGAATCACATAGATCTGTAATTTAGGGGATGCAGCACATGGAGAAAAGTAAGAGAGGTCAGGTCACATGAAGTTATTACTTTTGGGGCCTTGATACATTTTTTCCTATTTATTGTTGTCAAACCTAGCAAACAAAGGTGAAAAAAAGTCTTTACAACTCAGCTTTCTGTCCATTGGTCCCATATTTTGGCTTCAAAAGGTATTTCTCTTCTTGTATTTAGTAACGGATGAGATACTCATGAAGATGAGAAGTGTAATTAAGAACTTCCAATACACTGCTTATCTGACACTTTATTACTCATTGTCATTCTCCTTCACTGATTTATTACCACCATTGCTGGTAAAAAATCCCACACCCATGGTTAATAAAATCATATCCACTGCTAAAGCTGTTATAAATGCAGTTATTATTTTGAAGCAAAAAATAAACAAATAAATAATAAATAATAAAAAATAATAAAATTGAAATATATATATAGATTATGTACTACGAAAGCGGTCTAAACCGTGTTATCACTAAAATGAAAACTTATCAGTACAAGTCACAACGATACACGTAAACCATCGGTTTATGGGCTTTCCATTATACATCTCTCTCTCTTTCTCTGTCTGAACTTATCAAATTACTTTATTATAATATCACTCAGCACCAATCAGAATCCCTCTCTCCTATTACAGGGTTAAAATCAGACAAAATATCTTAATTTCCCATCAAACAAACAACGCAAATCCTATCTAAATTCAACTCAAAAAGGCCTCCCTGGTTTCTCAAGAACAGCAGAAAAAAACATCTCATTCCCATTTTTATCAACCTTAGGAACAACAATCCATTTGTGTTTCTTATACCTCAACATCCCAAATGCAAACAAATAATCATCCAAATCCTTCTCCAAACAAAAGAAGCTATCAATCCACAAAATCCCTCCAGGCCTCAAAACTCTATCCCAATCATACAACACAAAATCCAGCAGCACAAAATCAATCCAGCCATCTAAAAACCTCGTCGTGTGAATGATATCCAACGTGTTATCGAAGAACGGTAGCCTCTGATTTATCGTCAGATATAACGGAATTAGCCCTCTGAGAGCAATCATCTCGCTGAATGGAGCTCCAAGATTGATCGTAGCAGAGACAACTGTTACATTGGACTCTCTCATTCTGGCGGCAAAAGTACCTGTACCAACACTGAAATCTAGTCCAATTCGAATTTCACCAGGTTTAATCATCAAAACATCTTGTATCATTATATCTGCAGTTACATTCGATGATTGATCGATAAAAACAGGCTCGATCCATCTGGGTTTCTCATGAAGAGTCAAATTGAAACAATCTGAACATTTGAAGAAACCTTTGCCAGTTGCGTTAAGTTCACCAAGACAAGAAAATTTCTTACAGCGATAATTACTCCAACGAACATTTAGATCATCTGGAATATTCCAGAGACTCTCATTAATCGAAAGGGGCTTCGTGTAGTATTTAGGAGCTCGAGAGAAGCATCTTCTTCTTGGCAGAGGATCACATCCATGTACCATTAATCTCTGTGCTAGTTTCCAGTCATCATTGCAGAAATCACCAACATCATAGTTCATGTACTCTTCCAGTTCTTCTTTCATTGCGAAACAAGCGTGGCCAATGCTTGTGAATGTCCCGTTGGCGCCCATGAAGTTTTGCTTGCGTAATCTGTTGGGTTTGATTCTGATGTACTTCCGAATTTCTTCAATGAGAAAGAATTCTTCATCGATGGTTGTGGCTTCTATTGCGGTTTTTGCTTCCTGGCTGTGTAGGTGTTCTTGGCTTCTTGATCTGATTGTGGCTGTGAGAGTTAGGATCTCGGTGAGGAAAGTTGCATATTGGGTTCTTGTCTTGTCCTTAGATGATCTTGACTCTCTGATTTCTTCGACTAGTTTTTCGATGATGGTATCGACCAGATTGTTGAGAGTGACTTCTTGATGATCAATATTGGGGTTTAGGTAGTTGTTGAAGAAAGAGGAAGGTTTCTGAGAGTAGAATCTTGAGAGGGTTGTAGTACTAAATGCAAATGCAAGCAATGCAAAGATAATGATGAGGGCATACACACCTCTTTTGAGATTGAGGCTTCCCGTGACTAACTTCATAATTAGTTGGGTGTTTGCAATCAAAGTTCGAAAATAGTAAGAGATCTATGAATAAAGCTCATTAGATTCAAGAAGGGAGTACCTGAAACTTGAGAGGAAACCAATGAATTGGGAATTGAAGATGATGAGATTGCAAGGGCATGGAGATTGGAGTAGAGAAAGTCTATTGATGACTTGCCTTAACAGTTGGATTTCCTAAAGTTTAGTTTATAGTTTTGTACATGGATTTTGGTGATAAGTGACAAGTTGTAGTTGACCCTACGCATTCTCTCACAAACTTGAATACTACTGCTTTGGAGTCTCTATTTGGCAAAGTTAAGACTAATTATCACAATCCATTTAACATTTAGATGAAGTATCATGATTGTTCTAAATATAACTAATACTATTACTCTCTTGAACCATATTGATTCTAACTTTTCTCTCAAGCAAATCATGACTGGCTTAGACGATTGACGAATACGGCTGAAGAAATAATTTTTCTTCTTGTTTATTTATCAACATAAAAATCAAGCATAAAATATCATGTAATATGTGCGTGATCATCACGTCAAGAAGAAAATTTCAAGCCTATTTGCAATATGACGCTCATGTACATAACTCTAGACAAAATTTACTCACACGATACTATATTAATCTGAGAAAGCTAAAACGTGCACATACTGTATAAACCTGAGAAAGGTAAAGCTTGCAGAATGACCAGAGATAAGATATCTTAAATATCTATTAATTTGGAGGCCTGAATCCAAATAAATAAATAAAAATCATGATTATTTGGACTTCGCTTTAAGCGAAATCTGTATCATTTAGGGCCACTTAGTGTGTGGAATTTATTAAACAGAGGGCCAGGCTCAACTCTTAATTATCAATTAAAGTTGGCTAGCTCTCGTTAGCGAGCCCACGAGTTCATCACCGAGCCCAGTCAAGTTACACCTGAAGCGTAGCTAACGAGGTATTCTGCCAAAACACGCAAGGTTATGGTTCAAACTCTAAGTACCTATTAATTATATGGGTTTTTACATCAAAACTATATTCTTTTACCCAAATTGATACTTATCATTCTTAAAGTTTTTTTATGTAAACCACATTTACTTGCTAACATGTTTGCAATGTCACACCTAATCCAATTTTCAGCCAAAAAATACACGAAATGACCATTTTACCCTCACTATTTTCTTATTTTTCATCTCCTTCCTTACAAATATTAACCCTAACCCTAACCTCCTCATCCTCCTCTGCTCCCCGTCTGCCCTCTCCCTCCTCCCCCAACTCCCCTCCCCCTCTCTCTCATCCTCCCTCTTCCTCCCTGACCTCCCACTCTCCCATTCCTTCCCAAGTGGGAACTAGGATCAGGGTTAGGGTTTGGGGTAGGTGGCGGCCATGGGTTAGGGTTAGAGTTTTAGGGGAGGTGGCAGCCATGGGTTAGGATTAGAGTTTTAGGGTTTGTAGAAGAGGAGCATAGAGGACGCTAGGGTTAGGGTTAGGGGTTGAAAGGAAGAAGATGGGGGTAAAATGGGAATATCTAATTTTTCATGGTGAACAGTTAAAAAAGTGTCGCACTGTAAACATTTTAGCAAGTAAAGGTGGTTCACATCAAAAAAAATTAAAGGTGATAAGTGTAGAGACAAACACGAATGTGCAACCACCTCACAAAGAAAAGGCAATGATTAATCGTGGTTTGACAAGATGCCTACATCCACAACCGGCGAGATCGACAATCCACTATTAATCAAGAAGTTACAATGAAGACGGAGAAGATTAGAAACTCTAATCTCTCTCCCTTACAAAGCCAAAACAAATTTCAATTTTTCTTGTCAAAGATACATAGAGAAATCATTATTTATAACTTCCCTCAAATTCGAGTCCAAGTAGCCAAACAACTCCCAATTTTGAATCCAAACAGGAATCCAACTAGCCAAATAACTCCCCAATCCGAATCCAAATAGGAGCCAAACTAGATAAACAACTCTCCAATCCGAATCCAAACAGGACTCGAAAACACGTCCAAATCATGTGGGACCCATCACTGTGTTCAGGCTCTGTAGTCAATAGAGAGGTTTGACAATTTGTGGCTCAATATGAGCCACCGGTGGGTGGCTTTCAATATAGCCAACTTCACAAATTTCCACCTTGGAGAAAATGGTAAGCCACCAATAGTCTTCATCACCCAAGTAACATCTGATCTCTTCAACAACCATCGCCATCAAATCGCCCCGAAAGGCATCAACACCGAAGAACATTGATCAAGTTAAGATAGTGCATAAACTTGACTGTTGGAACAACCTTTGTCAACATGTCCGCCGGGTTCTCCTTAGTTTCAATTTTCGTCAGTCAAATCTTGCCACTCTCAATTATCTCACTGATAAAATGAAATCGAATGTCAATATGCTTGGCGCAAGCATGATGGGCTTGATTCTTTGCAAGATGAATTACACTTTGACTGTCGCAGTGCACTTCAACAACCTCTTGAGATATACCCAAGACACCAACCAAGCCACGTATCCATACCGCTTTCTTAATCACCTTTGTTACTGCCATGTACTTGTTGACCCTATAGTTTTGATGATGATTTGTCAAACAATTTATCGCTAATATATTCTCTAGCTTATTATGTTAGTTTATCTTTTCTGTGATCAATGCATGGTTGAAACAATGTTCATGTTTTGTTTGTGGAATATAAGTTGCTAATGATGAGTTCCTTGATTTATATACTGTTTATGATTATTTTTGATGGATAATTGTTGTTTAGCTCCTATATTTGTTCAATAGATGTCATTTATTCAATTTGACAGGGGGAGCTTTTGGTATACATTTTTATTATCTGTGCTTATATGCAGGGGGAGCGTTGCTCCTAATTTGTTTCTTTTTCCCTTTTTGATGTTGTCAAAGGGGGAGAAAAATCCACATATGGTTTACAAATTCATATATGGTTTATGATATTCATGTATGATTTATTCATGTTTGGCTTATATGTGGGTTATCTGTTTAGAATTCATATTCATGTATAAATTGTTTGCCATCATCAAAAAGGGGGAGATTGTTGACCCTATAGTTTTGATGATGATTTGTCAAACAATTTATCGCTAATATATTCTCTAGTTTTTGTGTTTATGTTTCTCTTTTCAGGTATTTCAACACACGTCAATCAAGCGTTAAAGATTCAAGTTCATATGTGTGGATTTACCTAGGTATATGTTTGGTTTACTTACATATATTGTATGATTATATCTAAGCTCAATATATGTACACTTAACACGATTTTTGACGTTTTTTCTATCATATAAATGATTTTTCATCAAACGTTGTTACAATAACTTTTATCTCATGTTTACAGCTCTTTCATACTTCATTATATACATATAACACATGCTCAATATATATATACATATTTACAAGCTTCATGTCAATTTTCATATTCACGAAAAACAGGTTTTTTGAAAACTTTTCAAAAACAGGGAGTTTTCACAAACGAAAAATTGATTTTCCAAAAATTCCTCTTCAAACATGTT